GGAACGCGAAGGGGCGAACAAAAACGGCTGCAACGACGGCGGCGACCGCGCCGCCGCTGCCATCGCCGCGCGCGCCCGCGGCTGACGCTGCGCAGCCGCTGGCAGCGCTCCTGACGGAGGATCGAACAGAACCGGGGGGGTCGCGCGGCGGATGCAGAGGGGGGCGGGGGGGGGGGGGACGGTCATGGCGAAGCTGAAAGAAGGAGGGGGGCGGGGGGGGCGGGAGGCGGGGGGGGGAGGGCGGAGGAGCGGCCGTGGGGGGGTGGGGGGAGGGGGGCGAGAGGGAGAGAAGCCAGGTGCACGATTAATCAGCAGGGATGGGGGGGGGGACTTGGGGGCGAGGAGGGGGGAATGACGGAAGGAAGTGGTAGGGATAACGCGAAATAGAAAACCGAAGGTGGACGCGGGGGGGGGGGGGGCGGGGGGGGCAGGGGGGGGGGCGGAGCAAGGATGGGGGGGGGCAGGAGGAAGGAGGGATGGAACGATGGAGGCGCAGGGGGGGGCCCATGACGCGCTGCAGCGCGCAGCCGTTGCGAGCGCCAGCGCATCTGGCGAGGGGGCGGCGCGTTGGCCGCCCCCGCAGGAGCTGCGTGAGTTGAGGCGCGGCAGACCGGAGACGCCGCGCCCCGGCCGGGGCGGCTGGGGGCCCGTTGAGGCAAGGGGGGGGGGGGGGGGGGGGGGCGTAGTTTTTGCGTTTTGTTTTCCTTGTATTTTGACGTGGTGTGCGCTGCGGCTCTGCAGTGGCCGTGGCGTATGCCGTAGTTTTCGCGTGGTATGCGCTGCGGCCCCGGTCGGGTTTGCTCAGTGGGCGGGTCGGCCCGCGCTCGTGCCGGCGCCCCCCTCTGGGGCCCTGGGGGGCCCCCCGAGAGCGGGGGCAAGTGCCCTCCGGAGGGCTTAGAAAAGTCGGCGCGCTCTGCGCTGCCACCGGCGGCGCTCCACCCCGCAGGTGGCCCGATGAGAGGGGGCGCGGAGGAGGGGGGTCTCTGGGGAGGAGGGGGAGGGTGGAGGGCGCGCGCGGCATAAGCCTTGGGCGCCGCCGGCATCGCTGGGATTTGCGTTGCCCGCCCACGCGTTCCATCCATCAGTCGATCGCCCACCCCTCTCTCTTTCGTCTGCGTGCGTCCTTCCTCCCCCCCAGTCCGTCGATCTTCGTTTTTCGCTTCGGCTTTCGACATTGTCCTTCCTTCTTTTTTTCCGCCTCGCTCCTCCTCCCTTCCTCCTTTTTCATCCCCCTGCCTTTTCTCAGATGGTTCCTTCTCCTTCCTTCCCCTTTTGCCCCCCTGATCTCGCCTGTCCTTCCCCTCGTCCCTCGTGCTTCCTCCCTCCCCTGCTTCTCCCTCCTCCTTCGTCGTTTCCTGGCCGCTCGCCCGCTTCGTGAGTGCCTCCTTTCCCGTCTGACTCCGCCGACTGGTCTGCCCCTTCCCCTTCCTCCTCCACCCCCCCTCCTTCCTCGTCTAAGCCATGGGCAATTCAGCCAGCCTCGTGCCGCGCCGCCGCCGTTCCCGACCCAAATCTGACGAACGCTTGAAAACGCGCGCGCGGGCCAGGTCCGACCCGGAACTTCCGTGACCGCGCGACGCGTCGAAAGCTCGCGCCAGGCTCGAACGTCTGACAGCCCGCGTGACGGACCCCGCGAGGGTCGAGCAACTCACCGCCAGACAGGCGTCGAACTGACAGAACAACCCGACCGCGTAGACAGCGAAGAGGACCCAGTCAGCACGTCGAAGTCACGGCGAACTACGACTGCCCGGCGCGTCGCCATTGCGCCATCGTCGGTCCGGGGGCACCGCGCGAAGGACAGCGAGGCGAGGTCGCAAACATCCAGCGCGGCGTGCCGTGGGTGGGGTGGTGTCGCGTGTTTCTTGGTCCAGGGTGGGTTCGCGCTTGGGCGTGAGGCCCAGCTGGGGCCCGACGAGATGCAGCGGGGCGTCGCCGTGTGCGTGCGTGGGCTGGCCCAGGGCGAGCGGCGCGCGTGCTGGGGCTCGGCGCCCCGCCGGCGCAAGTGGCCCTTCGGGAATTGTTGCGCGGCCGATGCCTGTGCGGCTCGGGGGCGGCCAACGACTCATTGGCGCCCTTCCAGCAAGGCCGACTGTCGCTGCTGGAGTCGGTGGCCAGGTCTCCCAACGTCGGCGACGTCCGCGGCAGGAGGGGTCGCTACTTTCTGGGGCGGGAGGGCGAGCGCATGCTGAAGCCCGCTGGCGAGGCTCAATCGGGCCTCGCGCGCGACGGCGCGACGTGCTGCCGCGGCCCCGCCCAGGTGAAACGGCAGGCCGTATGCATCTTTTTTGAAGGGCCTGCTGTCGCGAGGGCCTCTCGACTTCACCCTGAACCCGCTCGAGGGCGCGGGGGTCTTCAGCGCGTGGAGGAAGGGGCGAGGGCGCCAGCGGCTTACGCTGGATGTGCGCCGCTCGAACCAGCGGTTCAGACGACCACCCGGCGCGGGCCTGATCAGCGCGGAGGGCCTCGGCAGCATCGAGCTCGGGGAGGCGCGGAGGGCCTGGCGTCGACCTTGGGGGGGCGGTGGACGACGAGCTGGCCTCTCTAGCGGAGGCCCTCTCCGTGGCGGTCGGCGTGGCCGACGTGAGGGGCGCCTTCCACCGGCTGCGGATGCCGCCCATCTCGCGCCGGTATTTTTGTGTCCTCTCGGCTCGCAGCGGGTCCCCAGGGCTTGCCAGCAGGGTGGCGGAGGGCGCTGCGCTGACAGGCAACGAGCTGATATGGCCCTGCCCTGCAGCATTCCCCAGGGGGTTATCGCGCGGCCTTTTCTTCTGCCGGGTGTCGGGGGTGGCGCCTGCGAGCGCGGTGCCGGCGGACGGCCTCTTGCGGGCTCGGGGGGGCCTCCTCGACACTGCACCTACGTCGACAACTTGGGCGTCCGGGGCGCAGGCCGGCCCGAGGCGGGGGGCGCCCTGAAGTCCCTCGCAGAGGCCTGCGTCAAGAGGGGCCTGCTGGTCCGCGAGCGGGCCGCCACCTCGGGCGTCTACGAGGTGCTGGGGGTCGAGCTCGGCGGGCGGTTGATGCAGGCCCGAGCCTCGGGCAAGTGGCGGCTCCGCGACGGGCGCGCCATTGCTGGCCCGGCCTTCTGCAGCAGGGCCGCTGAAGCGGGGCCGCCCTCGAGGTGCTGCTGGGGCACTTCGCCATCTTGGCCGTGCCGAGGCGAACAGTGCTGTTTTGTCTTCATGCTTGCTACGCCTTTGCGCAGAGAAAACAACCTTGTGACCGGGCCCTCTTGGGCTCGGGTCGCGGTAGAGCTTCGTGTGTTCACTGGCATGATTGTTTTTTGTGCAGTGATTGGGGTCGTCTTTGGAACCGGCTTGTCCTTGTCTCCGATCGTCGGAGCGCGGGCATGGGGCCGCCGAGGTCTGGTGGCCTCTTGACATGGTCCAGGGCGCCAAGCGTCGCCGTGAGAGAGGTAGGTTCTTGGTGCCAGGAGCCGTAAATGCGCGGGCGTCTGCTGTCGGTGTTGATGAGGTTTTTTCAGGGCGAGCCGAGACCTTACTAGGCGAGGGGCTGCTCAGTGGCCCGCGCGCGGTCCCGCCCCCTGGCGCCCAGGATCTAGACCCGGAGTTTTTGGGCGTTCCTTGGGCCGGTTTGGGCCCAAAGCTCTGGGGCCCGACCTTCTGGGGCACCCGGCGACGGGGGCATTGGGCGGCGCGCCTGGAAGCCAGGGCCCTGGTCATGAACATCCGAAGGCTCGCTCTGCTCCCTTTTGGTCGAAACCTCCATCGGCTTCTGCTGGTTGACAATATGGCTGCTTGTCTCGCGTTCGATAGATGCCGTGCTCGAGATTTTCGCCTACTTAACGAGGTGCGTCGTTTTTTGTTGATATTGTCTCGCAAATTTATGCGCAGTTGTCCGGTGGGCCCCGTCGGAGCTAAACGGCGCTGATGGTGCTTCTCGAATTTGCGACTCAGCCGTGGGGGTAGTTGGCAAGCCAGTGGGGGGGGGGGGGGGGCGTTTTGAGGTTGATGGGGCCACGGCCAGAGCCGAAAGGTCCAGCGCAGAGAAGGCTACTCCCGTCCCTTCTCCCGTGTCCTCGTCTTCGCCCGATCGCCCATCGCCCGATGGCCGCGTGGCCATTTTGGCTCAGACCAGCGGGGCTTTGGCCCCCGCGAGTCCTCGGCGGTTGGCGATTCGCCCCGCTTCCAGCCCTGGCCGCAACCGCCCAGCATGGCGGCCGGCCGCAACCGCCCAGCATGGCGGCCGACGGGCGCGGGCGGCGGTCCGCGTGAGGCCGCGGAGGCTGGCGCCGTCGGCGCGGCTGGACGTGCCAGGGCCGAGGGTCATGGTGACTCGGAAGAGGGTGCTGGAGCCTGGCGAGAGGGCTGCGGACGAGCCGATGCCCGCCAGGCGCTGGGCGCTGTCGGAGGCGCCTCTGCCGCGAGGGTGGGCGCCGACGGCGAGCTGGCCAGAGGCGGAGGCCTGGGGGGCGCTCGCGGGGCGCGAGCCGGCGCTCCGCGGCGCCCGACGCGACGGGCCGCCGCGCGTGGGAGGTGCTCAGCCGAGCAGCTCCAGCGACGCCGGGGCGACGTCCGCGGGCGCCGCGCTGCCTCCCGGGGGGGGGGGCGGCGCGCCCACTGCCGGCGGCGGAAGCGGCGGGTGCTGAATTGCGTGTCAGAGACTGTCAGAGGCCTGGGGCTCGCGCAACTCGGGGAACGGCCTCTTGGAGCAGCGCGCTGTGCAGGAGCGGACCCGCGGCCGAAAGCAGTGCCAGGCCGAGTGGGGTCCGTGGAGGGAGTTCGCTAAGTTGGGCGATCTCAAGCATGTGAGCGACGAGGAGATCGACGAGTCATTGGTGCGCCTGTTCGAGCAGGACTTCTTCTTGTGGGGAGCACGCCCATCGCGGCGCCAAGGTTCTGGCCGCGCTCATGCATGCCGAACCGCGCTCTGGGTGACTCGGCAACCGGCGGGCGCCGAGGGCATGGCTGGTCCTCGAGGGTTGGCGGCGGCTATCCCCAGAGAGTTCCAGGCGACCCGGGCCCCTCTGCTTCTGGGCCGGCATGACCGACGAGACGGTGAAGAGGGGCGAGTCGTGGATGGCGCTGTTCGCGTTGCTCTCTATGAGCACGTACCTGCGACCGAGCAGCGTGCTGGCTTTGGGCCCGGGGAGCTTTCTGGCGCTCAAGGGCCCCTGGGGTTGTTGGAGTCCTTTCGTGCAGCCGGCCGAGCGCGGGGCGCCCGACAATATAGGGGAGTGCGACCACTCGATGCTCGTGGACAGCGCCTGGCTGCAGCTCATCTTGCCTCTCCTGTCTTCCTTGACCAGTCAGACAGGCCGGGGGGCGGTCTGGGTGTTCGCGTGCTGGGGCCATCTGAAGGTGTTCGCGGAGTGCGCGAAGAGTTCGGGTGCGCGGGTTGCGCCTTGCCGGGCGCGACGTTCGGGGGCATCCATCGATGCGTGGCGACAGTGGAGGTGCCTCAGCGAAGTGAAACAGCGAGGGGGGTGGAATGCCGTGCCGACAGCAGCGCGGTGAGATGCGAGAAGCATGCTCGACTCCGACACGGCGAGCTGCGGTGCCCGGAGGGTCTGGCACTTCGCCTTCGAACGTGCGAACGACAGCTGGAGGGTATTATCCTACATGGCAAGGCGGTAATACGTTGCAGCTGGATATGGCGCGGGGGCGATGGTGCATCGATGTCCTCTGTGGGGCGGGAGGAGTTGCCGGATCGCTCCGAGCAGAGGGCTTTCCTTGCGTGGATCTGGAGATCAAGAAGGGTTTCGACATTTAGCGTCGATTGTCTCTGCTGAAGCTCCTCCCTGACGCTAGGTCGGGAAGAGCAGCAGGGGCGATGATTGCCCTGCCTTGTGCAACCTTTTCCAGTGCGCAGAACGGTCGTGGAAAGCGCATTGGCACCTCCAGGGGGAGACGGGGGCGGGAGTGCACTGGACAGCCATCGCCGCCGAATCCCCCCGCCCTCTAGCTCGAGCCCTAGCCTTTGCCCTTTTGGCCCCCGAACGGTTCCGTCTGCAGGGCTGTTAGAATGCGCCGGTCCGAGCTGGATCTGTCTACCCTTCAGGTGAATTCTTTCGCTTTCAATATACGAATCGGATATGTGAACATCTGGTTTGGGCTGATTAGTGAGACTCGAGACTCAATCTCGTGAAACTCGAGACGCTGCCAGTGAGACTCGAGACGCAATCTCCGCTGAGCGGGGAGCTAAACGTGGGGGTGCGTGCGCAAAGATGTTTGCTGATCGCGTTGTGTCGCTTCCTGTCCTCCTCATAGCCTTTGGCTCCCAGAATCAACTGGCTCTCCCGCGCGACCTTGTTTTTCTGTTTTCCATTCGGGTATCGGTCAATGGCCCTCACCTTTGGGCAGGTGGCAGCGGCTGCGCTTGGACGTTGCCAGTGAGACTCGAGACGCAATCTCCGCTGATCGGGAAGCTAAACATTGGAGGTCTCTTGGGGCGTCTTGGGGGCCTCTAGGCCTCTCGAGGGGCCATCTTGGGTGTCTTGGGCTAATCTCTCTGCGACTCGAGGCTGTCTGTGGCTGTCATCGGGGCCTCTTGGGATCCTCTGCGCCCGTCTCGGGGCGCTCCTGGCCCGAAAAAGTCGCGCGACAAGGTGCGCCAAGGCCCAAGGGAACCGCGCCAAACCCCTGCAGATTCGTGAATTCGGGCTGTGGGCCGTTTTAAAGACCCCGCAGGACTGAAGACTGAGGCTCAGGGGATTGGGCTACGTAAGGACCTGAGGACACGCCCACTCCGTGCCCAGAGACACGGTGGCGGATCTGGAAGGAAGTGCCAGCGCGCATCCAGAGATGCGTACAAGAAACGGGAAACATTTGATGCAACGGGAACGATGCTTACCGATGGCCTCTCAAACGCATCGTAGGCTGTCGGGCGAAGGCCAGAAGGCCTGGCCTGAACGGGCTGCTTGCGGGCCGCGACAGTCTGCGCCTGTTGCAGGGTATCCCACGCGCCGCAGTTTAGCTTGCGGCGGGGATTCACCCTGCACCCTCCGCGTCGGCACTGGGCGAATGCTCATATTGCACCTTGTGAGGCGTTCTGTTCGTCTTTTGAAGCCTGCGGAGTAGCTGGCGCTGCGAGCCTTGACCAATTTCTGCCCCCGTTCCGCCCCCTTTCCCGCCTCTTCTCAAGTCTTCCAACATCCTGTCTTCTTCGGGCGGCGAATGGCAGCGCAGTCAGAGAGGTGATTGTGGAAAGCTTTCAGGAAGTCTCAAGAAGTCATGCTCCCAGAGACGCTTCCGGGAACAACGTTCCAGATGCATTCGGGGCCCCCGCTCAAGAGTTAGAGGCCTCGCAGCCCTCCCCACTGCAAGCAATCCTCTCTCCTGCTCTGTTCTGCTCAGTCATCCTCTTCCATGTCTTCTACTCCCCACTCCTTATTGTAATTTCTTTTGTTACTTTTTCGAATTTTGGCAGGCAGAAGCCAAAGAGGGAGCAAGAGGAGGAGGTGGAGGACGTGGACGTGGAGGAGGAGGAGGGCCTGAAAGTCACCCATTTTCAGAAAGCGTGTGCATCTGTTCATTCAGGGACAGTCGTATACATATACCTGGGGCCCTGGGGCTAGGACTTCGACCACATACGCGGGATCCTGGCTTCCGAGACGTTCCCAAAGGGATCTTCTGGACCTTCCGGGCGCCCTCTCGTGGCCACGGCTGCACACATTCAGAAACTCAAGCCTGAACGCCCCCTGGCGGTTTTGGGAGGGACAGCCGTCCCACCACCTGTCCATTTTCCTCTTTCTCCCCCCTTCTTCCTCTTCGTTATCATCGTCCTCCGAGCGTGGATGTTGTCCGGGCGGGTCCAGATCGCTGCCATCGGTTGGCATGTCCGCTCCTGGCCTCCTCATGAGGACTCCGAGAGCTCCCAGATGGCTGAAGACGCCCTCCAGACTGTGCCAAGACCGCCCTGCTGGATTCCGGCAGATCGGAGACGGCCCCAGAGTGCTTCAGCATGGCTCCAGAATCCCCCGCGACCCTCCGAGAAGGCTTCGAGAGGAGCTCCAGGTAAAGCTCATGGATTTCGTGTAGGTTCTTCACTGATCTTCGTGTTTTTCTTTGCCTTGGCTCCCGACTGCCGAAGGCGGCACAAGATGCGCCCCAGAGGATCCCGAGACGGCCCAGAACGGCCCAAGACGGCCCAGGAGAAGCTCAAAACGGGCCAACGACGTATCCACGAGAGCCCACAGGTGGGCCCCATTGACGCCTAGGCCGCCAGGAGGTTCCGAGACGCTATGAGGCAGCCCATCATTGCCTCGAGATGGATCCAGAAGCCCGCGACGCTCCAGGAAGGCCCCGACATGACTCCGAAGAGGGCGCCCAGAGTGAGAGACACATTGTGTTAGCGTTAAATCGGCCCTGTCCCTCTGCAGCAGGAGTATTCAAACACAGTAAACAAATATTCTGGGGACGATGTTTCAAATCTGTTTGATCATTGTTCGAGAATGTTTGAGGTATTTTTTATTTGTCATCCAAAATCCCCCTGTAGGGGGACGTGCCCGACCTAATGTTAGCGGTTTGAGCCTTCTGGTTCTTGCAAGCTCTGGACCGCTCAAGGTGGCCCCCGAAGCCTCCGAGACCGGCCCAATTCGGCCTGGGAGACCTCCCAGGAGGGCCCACGACGCCTCTGGAAGAGCCAGCAGACGAGCCCCACATTCGCCAGCACCGCCGGACAACCCCCAAGGGACATGCGAGAGCTCCCCGGCGCCCTGCGGGCTTCCGAAACGCTTTGGGGGCGGCCCAACATTGCTAGAAGGTGGCTCCAAGAGCCCAGATGCCGCTTCGACAAGGCCTCGAGGGGACTCCCGAGATGGCGCCGAGAGGCAAACCATATTGTTTAGTTTCGATATGTTGTTGAATCTGATTTTAGAGTTGTGTGTGTGTGTGTTTTCTTTCCAGAACTGTTGTTGAAGGACCTCCGAAGGGGCTCCGGAAAGCTGCCGAGAGCCTTCGACGACCTCCGACCACCTCAGTACACGTATCCCACTCTCCCCTTCAAGCCGGCCCAAAGACACGCGTAGGACGGATCGCAGCATGCGCCCAGTGTTTCTCCAAGAGCATTCGAGCAACGTTTCTGGAAGCCTCTCTGGGAACATCTACATCGTTTTCCCCGGAAGCTTCTCTAAGGAACACTCGGAGCCTTCCGACGCGTCGCATCTCGATCTCGCACGGTTCCGCGACCGCCCACGGAACTCGAGTAGATCCCCCAGAGGCCCAGCACCTCTACGCGCCGAGGGCGGCCCTTGCCGGGTCGACGTCTTCTTTGGTATCTTGGACTTCGTGGATTAGCGCCAGGCCTGATGACAACGACTGCGCAGTCGGCTAGAACCCAGGCGCGCCCGTATCGTGTGCGTGGTTCTAGTGACCAGTGTGCCAGTGCAGTCCTCAGTCGGTTTCGCTGATCGACGCGTGGCAGATGAGTTCAGTTGTTTCTGCACGTCGGTTATATTTTCCGGATCGCTGCGCTCAGAAAGCGGTTTTGCGCTCACCCGTGAAGTGCCTTCGGTAGCTTTCATTCAAGTCGAGATTGGACAGTGGAGCACAAACATTATCAGTGGCGGGCTGTTTCTCGATCCCAGGATTTGAGGGTCGGGGACGACGTCGAGGTGGTGTGGCGTGTACTTGTTCGCCCGTGTTCCCGGGGAAACAGCGAAAAGTGTGTGCACCAGGATCCCGTATACACCAGGGTCCGCTCTCTTGTGCACATGTCGGTGCAGGGTAAGAACAAGCATCGGTGTATAGAGTTCGGTTCCCTACGAGGGATTCCGTGCTTACCAGGGCCCGCTTTCCTGTGCAAATTTAAGTGCCGGGCCCGAAAACGCGTCGGTGTATGTATATAGAGTTCGGTTCCGAGGGTTGCCAGAGGCGTTCCTGGTGGAGGGTTTCTCCGAAGGGCTTACGCGACCCGTCCTCCTCCTCCTCCTCCTTCTCCCCCTCCTCCTCATCCACCTCCTCCTTCTTCTTCTCCTCCTCCTCCTCCTCCTCCTCCTTCTCTCCTCCTCCTCCTCCTGCCCTCATCCACCTCCTGCTCCTCCTCCTCCTCCTCCTCGGGTTGCCTACGGCCCCGGGGGAAACCGCGCAGTCCCCGGCCTGCCGTAAGTCATTTTGGCTTCAGCAGATATTTGGCTCGAGGCGCGCTTGCCTGACGACCGCAGAGGGCGTGCCCCTGAGATGCGGACCCTCCGCGCCCTCGCTGCGCACCTCCTCCTGGCAGAGCTCGCGGCTGCGACCGATGGTGGCGGCGCCGACGAGGGCGGAGGCGACGAGGGCGGGGGCGGACCTGAGGCTGAGAGGAGGAAAAGGTACCCATACCTCTACCCTCCCCTCGTGGGCCTCCGTCGTCGCCACCGCTGGACTCGCCTCGAAGTCCTAGCCAGAACGCACCCCAGGAGAGGTCCGGGGAGTGGTGGTACTGGTACCTCTTGGTTTCCCCAGAGGCCGCGTGCGACGGATCTTCTTGCACTGTGGGCGACATCCGCGTTCAGGCACTCTCTCCCATCCTGCTCCGCGTGGAGCCGAAGGGCCCCAACGGCTTCGAGGACCGGACCACCTTCACGGTGGTGAACCGCGACTTCGAGGGGCTCACGCTGGAGCAGGACAAGAAGTCGGGAAACTTGAAGACAGACCACTACACCATTCAGGTTTCAGATGGGGCGGTCAAGGTGTGGGATGCCGAAGGCCAAGATGCGTACGACTCGGGGTCGAACCCTGCCTCGAGCATGTTGCATTGGCCAGCACCTTATTCCTGCGCCGGCTACGCGATCATGGACTATCCTCGCTTCTTCATGCCAGAGTGGAAGGTTACACCTCAGGAGGATGCTGGCGACAACAACGGTTATGATTTTAGCAACGACGTCTCGGGCGACACGTATATTTTCCTGATGGGAAAGGGCATTGAGGGCTGGAATGCTGCACGCATGGAGTTCGCAAAGCTGACAGGTCCTGTTCCTCTTATTCCCGACTGGGCATTTGGCACGTGGTTCACGTGGTGGCATTTCTACACGGAGGATGTCGCGAAATCGGAGGTCCAGCGCTGGATTGACGATCAGGTGCCGCTCGATGTGTGGGGGCTTGACATGAACTGGCGCATGACAGAAGGTGGCGCTGATCTGCAGTATGACCAGCCCAACGGATCCTCTTTCCCAGACTACGGGGAGTGGTTCACCTGGCTTGCGGAGAGAGGAATCCACACGTACTTCAACGACCACCCTGGCCAGCAGGCCCCTCAGACGTCTCCGACCGAGGTCAGCTTCCGCTGGAATGGCCTCACCTCGTGGATGGAAAAGGGGCTCACGTTCTGGTGGTTTGACCACAACTGGAAGTTCTCCATCCCCCCGCCGAACGCAGGTGAACCGGGAAACGTCGACGGGACAGCAAACGCGGTATGGGAGGGGCTCACCACATCTTGCTGGGGTTCGCACGTGTACTACTCAATCGCGGAGCAGTACAACAAGAATAACCGTCCAGACGACGACTTTCACGGCGGCCGCCCCATCATTCTTTCGATGCAGGCTCCGCACAATGAGATCAGTGGCTACAACCTAGACAACCCTCTCGTCGAAGGTGCCATTGCGGCCCCTCTTGATTCGTACAAGATGTCCGAGCACCCTGCGCACCACAGGTACCCTGTTTGGTGGAATGGCGACTTCGCAACCATGAACAACAACTTGGAAGCGATGGTGGACGGAGGAGTTCATGACCTCAAGCCGTACGTTCACCCAGACTGTGGCGGCGACGGTTGGTTTACCACCGTCACGGAGCTCCTGCGCCAGACACAGATGTGCGCATTTGGCACGATTCTGCGGTTCCATGGCGGGCCGCACCAGCCGTGGATCTACGGAGATTGGTGGGAGGACAACATCCGTCACTACATCGTGTGGCGCTACAAGTTCCTGCCAATGATCATCGCTGGCGGCCAGCGGGCCACCAAGACGGGCTTCCCGTTCGTGGCGCGGTGCGACCTGTATTGGCCGGAGCTCGGAGAGTCCAGTTCGTCCAACCACCAGTTCATGTTCCTCGACGACATCCTCGTGGCGCCCATTTTTGATTCCAGTGACAACTACACCGAGAGGGATGTTTGGATTCCGCCAGGTGCTTGGCAGGATGCCTGGAGTGGCGAAGTGCAGTATGGGCCAGCGGATCTGCATGTCGGGCAGCCGCAGGACCGCATGCCAATGTGGATCAGGATGGATGGCGGCATGCTCATTTGGACGGACAACCCAGGTCTCTCCGTCGCGGCAGGCGATTGGTCAAAACTTGTCGTCGAGGTCTGGCCGTGCCCAAGGGCTCTCGAGACGGTGCGCACCATCTACGAGCGCAGCGTCGAAGAGGATCCGCCAAGCCAAAACGTCACACTGTCCACTGATGGTTCTGGTACGGCGACTATCCAGATGGACAAGTCCGATGAACAGCGTGCCTGGGTGGTCCGTGTGAACTTGCTCGTTGGCCAGGCGGTTCTCGACGCCAGCGTTGACGGAAAGCCAGTGGAAACTCAGGAGTACGGGCCTAGAGAATCTGACGATGGCACCTTGTGGTATGGTTATTGGCCGTTTGGAGGCGAGGGAAGTGCACCTGCCGCGCGTGCTGGGAATGTGGTAGAGATCCAGGTTCCTGCAGGCACCAGCAAACGCAAAATTGTGGTAGTCATTGGTGATAAGCAGAAGCCCGAGGCCAAGAAGCCCGAGACCAAGAAGTCTAAGAGCGCGGAGCCCAAAGGAACAAGTGAGACCAAGAAGCCTGAGGCCAAGGCCGCGACCAAGGAGGCCAAAGGAAAGAGCGAGACCAAGAAGCCTGACGCCAAGGCCGCGACCAAGGAGGCCAAAGGAAAAAGCGAGACCAAGAAGCCTGACGCCAAGGCCGCGACCAAGGAGGCCAAGGGAAAAGACGAGACCCAGAAGCCGGCAAACAAGATGAAGCCAACCCCAGCAACGACGACCGACGCCACCGAAGAGGTGCAGACGGACGCGGACGCCGTGATCGAGGCCTGGGGGCTCTCGGAGCACGCGGCACAGAGGTTGCCCCAGGGCACGGCTACCACAGCCGGCACCGGCGGCTGCCTGCTCGCCGTGCTGGCACTTGCCGGCGTCGCCGCGCGCGTGGTGCGCTGGCGCGCGCCGTACGAGCTGGTGCGGGGGCCGCCGCTGTCGCCAGAGGCAGCCGCGCCGCTAGCCGAGGAGAGCCGTGCCGAGGACCGGGCGAGAGAGAGGGAGAGGGACCCACCGATTATATATACATATACACACCTGTATGTATGTAAGCATGTATGCATGTATGCATGTATGTATGTATGCATGTATGTATGTATGGGTGTATGTATGTATGTATGTATGTATGTATGTATGTATGTAGGTACGCATGCATGTAGTGCAATACAATTCAATACAGTGTAGTGTATTCTAGTGTAATGTAGTGTACTGTAGCGTAATGTAATGTAATGTAATGTGGAGTATTGTAATGTGTTGCGATGTAATGTAATGCAATGCGCTGCAAATTCATGTAATGCAATGCGATGCAATGTAATGTAATCTGATGCAATACGCTGCATTGAAATCTAATGTAATGTAGCGTAGTGTAATACAGCCTAGTGTCATGCCATGTAATATAATGTGATGTAATTCAGTGATTGTAGTGTAGTATAATGTCATGTAATGTAGTGCAATGCCATGTAATGTAATGTCATATCGTGTAATGTATCACAATGTGATGTAATGTAATGCAATGTAGTGCGATGTAATGCAATGTAATGCGATGTAATGCAATGCAATGTAATGTAGTGTAGTGTAGTGTCGTGTAGTGTAGTGGTGTAGTGTAGTGTAATGTAATGTAATGTAATGTAATGTTATGTCAATGCTACGCCATGTAAATGTAATGTACAGGTATTGTACATGTAATCTAGTGTAATATCGTGTAATTGAATGTAGTGTAATGCATATGTAATGTAACGTAACGTAACGTAACGCAATGTAATCTAATGTATTGTATTGTACTGTAATGTAATGTAATGTAACGTAATGGAATGTAAAATGTAATGCATTTTTCAAATGTAAGTGTATTGCAATGTAATGTAATGCAATCCGATGTAATGTAGTGTATTGTAGCGTAGTGTAGTGTAATGTAATGTAATGCAATGTAATGTAATGTAATGTAATGTATTGTAATGTAATGTATTGTAATGTAATATAATGTAATGTAATGTAATGTAATGTAATGTAATGTATATATATATGTATATATGCATGCATGCGTGCATGCATGCATGCATGTATGCATGTATGTATGTGTGTATCGATGCCGTCCCCTCGTCGTCGTCTCTCTGGGCCTCCCAGGGGTGCTTCCGCCGCCACGGCCAGGCTCGCCCCGGAAGCATAGTCTGGGCACGCCCACAGGAGAGGTCCAGGGAGCATCGGTATCGGCAGATGAGCGTCGTGTCGACTGGCGGCGACTCCGCCGCTGGCGTACGACTTTGAATGCCGCCAGCCGCCTTGCCGCCGATTTTTTTGTTTGAGCATCGGATCTCTTGGGGTGAGGCCTCCTGGGGCTCTGAGGTCACCACGGGGTAAGGTAGGGCCGTGTCGTGTCGACCGGCGGCGACCCCGCCGCTGGCGTTCAATGTTGAACGCTGGCGTTCAATGTTGAACGCAGCCAGCGACCCAGAATCGGTCGATGTTGAACGATCTGACGATCCGGAAACGGCGGAGCATTCAAGGTCAAACGCTCCCCGCGGTGTCAGGAAACAACGCCGGGGTCGACACGACGCGAACCCGCGGTATCCGTGCCTCATTTGTCAGGAGGGGAAAAAACACACAGACACAATTCATCGTCGACTCCCAGGAAAATGTGGGAAAACATGAGAAGCAGGGGCGAAGACGAAAACCCAGAAGCATGGGACAATAGGCAGAATCCTGGGACTAGTGTGTCTTTATTTTTGTGTCCCTGTGCCCCTCTGACTTGTTCGCCCCAGAGGAGGCGTGAGGTCGGCCTAGCGCCATCGGGGGCGCGCTCCACGCTGCCGCCCCCGCGGAAGGCAGCCGCGCCGCAGCCCGGAGGCTGCCGAGAGCTGCTGGGGGCCGGCCGGCGAGCTCACAGCCACCTGGGCGACGCAAAAAGAGTCGGGCGTGCTAGGGGGCCACATGCGAACCCTACCCCTACGCCCCACGATTTCTGAGGGGGAGGGTGGGGTTCACTTCGCTCTGGAGCTCCCGAACGAAGTGAACCTCACCCTCCCCCTCAGAAATCGTGGGGGGTAGGGGTAGGGTTCGCATGTGACCCCCTACGTGTCCCTCTACAGGAAGAATATTCAAGAGTAGTCAAAACATATTCGGGGGGGCGATTTTTTTTTGGGAGTATTTTTAACTGTTCGCCCAATCTCCGCCTGTAGGGGGAAAGGCCCGACCTAATCTGCCCCTTTGCCTGTTTTCCCTTTTTTCGGCCTCCTGGGTTGCCCTCGTCGCCACCGCTGGATTCGCTTCGAAATCTTGGTCAGAACTCACCCCGGGAGAGGTCCAGGGAGTAGCAGTATCGGTACCTTTTTGGTTTCCCCTAAAAAGACGGGGTCGTTTGCGCCGACATTGGCGTGTAAGCTGCCCGCACAAGGTCGCGCGAAGGCACCCTCGCTTCAATTGTGGCGTGCCGCGCGGGCGGCCCGCGTGAGTCACCGCGTGAGGTCGCTATGCCATCTCGCGTAAGACCGGTATCTGATCGTCGCTCACCTATGCAGATCTTTAGGGGGTTCAGCACCAGCTGCTGAGCCTGTCAGGCAAAGTTCCTGTCCAGGGGCCTCGACCAGGCCGATCGGATGCCGCGCCACGGAGCGCGCTGCACTCCGAGGGCTCGACTGTCAGCACAAATGATCTTATGTCTGCGCATGCACCATCGCGGCGTCAGGGCGCATGGTAGGGGCGGCACGGTGCAAAGGACACACCCGTGCGCCTGCCTCTCTAATATGTCGCACTCCCCGGGCGTTCTGTTGCATTACCAGGTCCACAAGGGTCCTGGTGGAATCCAAAGTCTTTGAATGAGGCCCATTCTGGTTAGGACCACTCACGAACTACCATTTGTTTTTTCTAGCTGAGAGACGACATCAATTGTGGCAATTGTGTCCCTGGCCTGAGGTATGCCCTGGATTCCCCAAGACAGGGCACCCTTCACGAGGCCCAGAGAGGCCCTCAGAGGCCCCACAAAGGCGCGGAAAGCTAGGGACACCTTGGGCCAGGGGCACCTTTGGCAACCACTGGTAAGGTGCGTTTTGCTACAAGGGCTGTCTGTCTGTCCTCGGCCATGGTGCATTGCATGGGCGTCTCTATTGCAGATCGGCTTGGCTGGCGTAGCCAGTTAGCAGAGCGACCTGTTGATTCGCGCAGAGTTCGATTCCGAACTATGTGGAGAGGGACAACACATTCTGTTGAAGTGGGTGGCTGCCGCTCCTCGGATGATCGATCCAGAAACGCACCACGCCGATGCCTTTGTGTCGATGCCAGTCCCTCGCATTCGCCGTTCTGAGCCTCCCAGGGGGGGTTCTTCGTCGCCCCCCCGCCCTCCCTCTTTCCCTCCCTCCTCACCCCCTCCTGCTTCCTCCTCTTACCTCCTCCTCCCTCCTCTATCCTCCTCCTACACCTCCTCCTCCTCCTCCTCCTCCTCCTCCTCCTCCTCCTCCTCCTCCTCCCTCCCCCCCCCTCCTGCTTCCTCCCTCCCTCCCTCCCCTCCCCTCCCTCCCTCCCCCCCTCCTGCTTCCTCCTCCTCCCCCCTCCCCTCCAGGAAGCAAGAGCGGCGGCTGGACCGGCAGAGGCTCTGGGAGGTCCGCGCGGCTCTCTCGGCTCGGCGCTGGGCCCCCGTCTTCCCTGGCGCGCCTCGCCTGCCCGGGCAGGCGCCGGAGGCGCCGCCAGGGGGGTGGGGGGCCAGCGCGGATCCAAGGAATCCGCTCAGGCGATCGCAAACATGGATCGAGGGGGCGTGGATGAGCGACGAGTCCCGTTTCCATGGGAAGTCGCGGACTTCCGCCGCCGAGCGAGACGGCACCGGCCGCAGCTTGGGGAGGGCCCCTCCCCGGATCCATGGATTTGGCGACCGCGCGCCAAGTCCATGGATCGCTAATCCATGTTTGCGCGCCCCCGATCCGATCGGGCCTCCGAAAGCGTGTATGTCTGTCGAGGGTTCAGGAGGGGAAGACACACAGACGCAGACAGTCGTCGATTCCCAGGGGGAAGGATGGGGAGCTACGGGAAGTGGGGTGGGAGGAAGACGAAACTCCAGAACATCATGCATGGGAAACATGGGGGGATCCTGGGATCTGTGCTACTTCTTTGTGTGTCCCTGGGCCCCTTCGTCCTCCTTGCCCCCACGAGCGGCGGGCAGCACATCCAAAAGTCCATGAGTCCGCAGTATGACTGGCGCACCAGAGGGCACTGCCATGGATCTACGGTCTCGTGGATGCGTTCTGCGCGGGGGGGGCAGGGTTCGTTTCGATTCCTCCGCCGCGATTCGATTCGATGTCGGCTGCTTCCGATTGATTCGGCTTCGGATTCCGATTTGGGCTCCGGATTGTCAATGCAGGCCTACTAAAGTGCCGATTTCCGCCGAATCGACTTTTCCCGATTCAGCCGCCGATTCTAGCCGACCCGATTGATTTCGATCGCCGATCCGACTTATCGATTCGATTCTGGGCTCTCCTGGGGGGGTGGGGGGGGCATCCGCGGAAAGAAGACCGCCCTGCATCCATGGGGAGTCCGGGGCGCTCGGCCGTGGATAGAAGGATTTTTGTGTCCCGCCCCTCCAGGCTGCAACTCCTGGGAGGCTGAGTTCTCAGCATCGGGCCTGGCGTTTCCCTGGTCGACATCTGGCCCAGTCCCGCTGAGTCCCGCCTGACATGGTCGGATCCCTGTTAGCATTGCTTAACGCTGTGTTTAATCTTTGGCTTAGTCTGTCTTCGTCCAGCTTGATTCTCGCCCAATGGGGCTTGATAGTCCCTGCTCGTTCCCACGAAGACGTCCCAGGAGTTCCCTCCCAACTCATCCCTTATCCAACTCTCCTCGCACCCCTTCTCCGCGTCTTGACCGAACTCCATGCGAGCAGGCTGCGGTATGCTGGTCTGCCGTTCACGGACGAGTTGGATCCGTCCGTGTCAAGCTCCTTCTCTGTATCCGCACGCGGCCCGCTTGGAATACCACAGGTGGTGGGGAGGAGCCCTTCCCCGCGTATCGCATCAGACTACAAGCATGGCGACTCCGTCGTGGTGGTCGGGCCCCCCCTTCCGCAAGCGGTTCCTCTTATAGGGGATGGCGGGGGCGTGCGCCGAGAAAGACCGAGGCAACACCGCGTGGGGCTCTGCCCCGGGCTGCCCTCTGGCTGCAGCGCCCACCCCGAGCCCACTGCAATGACCGCCAACAGCAACTCCTCCCTCAGCCGTCTCAGTCCTGGCTCCCATCGCCCCTCCTCCTTCACCCTCCCTCTCCCATGCTTTCCGCCCCCTACCCCTCCTCCCTTCGCCCCTTGCCCCTCCCCCCTCCCCCTTCTGCCTCTCTCTTCCTTCCCGCATCCTGCCCCGTTCCCCTCTCTTCCATCCCCCTCCCCCCCTCTGGGGAGACGACGACGACGACGACGACGACGACGACGACGACGACGACGGCGGCGGCGGCGGCGGCGGCGGCCGTGGCGGCGGCGGCGACGATGACGACAACGACGGCGGCGGCAACGGCGGCGACCGCCCGCGCAGCCGCCCGCGACGCGTTCCGAGGGCCAGCAGAGCCGATGGCGGCGACGACGCCGAGTGGCCACGTCGCGGCCCGCGAAGCGCCTCAGGGGACGACGCCGGCGGCGACGGGGAGCGGCGGCGGCGACGGCGGCGTCCGCTGGGCGTCTCGGGGGCCGACGGCGCCGACGGCCGTCCCAGGTGTTGACGGCGTCGACGTCGCCGCCGACGACGACGACGACCAGGGGAGGGAAAGACCCACTCCGACCCCCAGAATCGGGGTTTACTGATCAGGCTCAGGCGTTTATTCAGCGGTCCTGCCCTGCGGTCTGACCGAGGTATGTGGTCGAGGTCGGGTCGGGGCGGGTACCCTAATGTTCTTCGTGTTTGTTGGATTGTCTTATGCATCTTGAGGGAGGACACCCTCGAATGTTCTTCAGTTTGTCTGGTGGAGGCTCTCAGGTTCTTGAGGGATGTTTTCCTGTCCTAGGCCCGACCGTGCTCGGTTCCTGCCGCAGGTGCGCCTGCAGGAGGGCTTTGACTGTAGGGGGTGCTCACCAGGAGGGCGGCTATTCTGCCCTCGAGGCGTACGGCTGGGTTGGCAAGATGGCGTGTGCTGTGGTGCCGCCGACCTGCCCACTGGACGCCGTCCCCCGCCTTTTGTCCTAGGCTTGCACCGAAGCAGCCCTTGCTGGGCGACAGCGTGCACAGCGGGGGCTGTCGCGGGGGGATCGCCTCGCAGGGATGGCGCTAAGTCGGGCCTGTCCCTCTACAGGAGGAATGCTCAAACATAGTTTGCGTATGTTTTGATGTCTTTTAGCGTGCTTTCCGGAGATCGGTGCCCTACGCTGCCTTTCCACCGGCGAGCGCCTACCAAGTCTACTGCAGCTCGTGTCTCTTCGGGTGGCGGCAGTTCTGGTCAGTGGCGTGGGGCGGGGGGGCGTCCTGGCGTCCCCCGGTGCACGGCACTGAGCCAGGTCCCACGGAACCCAGTCTTGCCAGAGCCCCATTTGGCCACAGGAACGGTTGCTGGAGGGCTTTGCCGGTACAGTCAAAACCTTAATAAGGACGCGCGACTCTGCTCAGGGTACCCTTGCGTCCTTACTCTTCCTTGCTCTGGCGTCCTTGGGGTTTTCGTCGTCCGCCGCCCCAAAAATCCCAACTTCGGCTTCCAAGGGTCTTGCGTCTTTATCGCGCGTCCTTATTAGGGTTTTTGACTGTACGGGGTGCTCCTCGGGAGGGCGCTCTGCCGCCCTCCAGGCATCGGCGGCGGCGGCGACGACCGCCGGGCGAGGGCGGCTCTTCTGCCCTCCGGACACAGGCTCGCCGAGCGAGGTCCACTACTCGCCAAGTGCGTACTCGCAGAAGTCCGACAACAAAGTCTCTGTCTCGGCGTAATGGATCGTGGATCCCCCGCGGCGGATCCAGGCCGTTTGCGAGCAGTTGCCTTGCGAGTCGTGGAACGCGCTTGTCTATAGGCTGCGGCGGCGACGGCGACGACGACGATGACCGACGACGACGACGCCAGGCGTCCTAGGGGCTGCCTGCCCGGGGCGCGGCGTGCCCATGGAGGGCGACGGCGCGGAGGCCGTCGAAGGCGCCACGGGCGCCGCGCCGCGCGCCGCCGCCGCCGCGGCGGTGGGCGGTGGCCAGCGGTCCCAGCGGCCACGGCGGCGGCGGCCAGCGGCAAGCTCGGGGAGCGGCGGCCAGCGGCGGCGGCGGGCTGCGGAGGCGGCAGCGGCGCCAGCGGCCAGCGGCGACGGGCGGCGACGGAGGCACGCGGCCACGGCGGCGGCAGCAGCGGCGGCGGCCTCTCATCGGCGGCGGGCGAGGGGGGAAGTTTCGGGTTCGAGGTTCGAGGTTTTCTGGCGGTTTCGTCGGTTCTCGGCGGTTCTTCACCCTCGGGACACGTTCCAGCGGCTGCGCCTCGCCGAGAGCGTTCTGGGGGTGCCTGGACCCGCCGGAGACCCGGGGTATGACCCAAAAACCGAATTCGGTGGCGCGCCCGGGAGGGAAGTGAGAAGGAGAAGGCCTTCTCAGAAGGCGGCGGGACTTATCGGAAGCCCTCGCGCCTGCTGAGAGGTTTCCGTGTATCCTGGGGAGGCTCGGACAATTTCTCGGAGCCTTTTGAGAAGGCCCGCCTCTTCTCACTTCCCCCCGCCCTGCCCCCCAAAGTCTCTGGGCGCTGAGGCTGCGGCAAACCGCCGCGCTGGTGCTGAGGCTGCGGCAAACCGCCGCGCCTGCACTGCTGCGTCTTCTGCTGTTCCGTCCTCCCCCCCCAAGTGCTCTGCTCCTCTACCTGGCCACGGGGGGTGTCCTCCTCACGCTTGTTATAGAATAAGTGTTTCCCGCGGTCGTGCGCCGTCGCCCCAGACCCCAGGCGGATTGGCTTTTCTGAAGTACACGTTTTTGAATTTGCATGTTTATTCCAGCCTCCGAGGTCCATGCCGATCCGCTCGATCCAATTAGATATCGAGTTCGGCCGGCCCGATCCGATTCGATGCCCATATTAAGACGGTCCGACGCGGCCCGATCTTCGCATGGCGCCGTTGTGGATCCTGTCGCAGCCGGTCCCATTCGATCTCGCCCCCATGCCAATGCAGCACGATCCGACGCCCGTTCCGATCCGACCCGATACCCGGCCTATCCACGATTCTAGGCCCGTCCGTCGTGGTTTTCGCTCCTCTCCTTCCTCTCCGCACTGTAGCGTCGCCGCCTTTGACGCGCCCGCCCGCGAAGGCGACCGGGCGGCCATCAGAGGCCTGTTTTATCTTCGGCCTCCGTCAGGGGCTGAGGTCCGCAGGCCGGACGGGGTTTTATGGAGCTGGAGTGAGGCTCGGCGGCGAGCGAGGGCGGGGAAGTGAGACGGAGAATTCCTTCTCAGAAGGCGGCGGGGCTCTTTAGCAGCCCTCAGGCCTTCCGACAAGTGTTTTCGTGTCCTCGGGGAAGGCTCCGAACACTTCTCGGAAGGCCCGGGGACCTCCGAGCCTTCCGAGGAGGCCCGCCCCTTCTCACTTCCCCCCTCGCTCGCCGCCGAGAAGCGGTGAGAAGCAAGAGCCGATGCCCCAATGCGAGGCGGACGGGTGCTGGCCTTGGGGGGCTGCGCGCGCTCGCCCCCGCAGGCCCTCGCGGAAGGGCGGCCTGGGCAGGGCGCCCTCGGGTAGGCCGCGGCCCTGCCCCGCGCGCCCCCCTCCCCCCACCCTCCACCCCTCGATGGGTGCGGGCACAGATGGGTCCCCAGATGGCTGAAAACGAAGCAGGGGCAGCGGCTTGCGCGCCCAGGTTTGGTCCCCCCGCGGCCTCCAAAAAGCCGCGCACCAGAGGTCACTCTTGCCCAGGGTCACTCTTACGTGCAGCCGAACCCCTCCCGGAGGCGCCCCGGTGCTCGTGCTCGACGGCTACGGCTCCGAGGAGGAGGCGGTGGCCGCCGCCGAGGCCGCGGAGGCTCGGTCCGGGCGCGCGCGCGCTTGGGGGCGGGCAGAGTCTATCGGGACGACCGGGATGGGTTACGGAGAGAGTGGGCACCAAGGCTGACAGCAGTTCCTGCTCATTTTGAGCAGGACTTGCTGTCGGTGTCGCCGCGGCCGGTGTCCATTCGAGACAGAAGGCCGCCTGCCCAACAGCGGCCACTGTTGGTGCTGGAGGACAATAGTTGTTGGGCATTGTACCCAGTTTGTCCATACCCACTTCGGGCGTCCAAGGTCTGGGCCTCCCAGATGGGGTCCGGGAAGATGGGGGACGGTCGGAGCGCCGCCTCGCCGCTGCATCGGCGGTGCGGCTCGATGTGGGGCCGGATTTTCTCCACGCCGACGGACCTATCGGCGATGCGGCGGGATCCTCCGTCCCCATCTACTCGGACCCCATCTGGGAGGTCTCTACAGATGGGTTCTGAGAATACTGGTCCAGCCGGCCTCGTGAGTGAAAGGGGGAGGGAGTACGTAGGTGGGATCGGAGTACATGGGGGTCGCGCTTCGCAGCACCTCCCAGCTGGGGTCCGAGTAGGTGGTGTCAGAGGATCGCGCCGCATCGCCGATTCATCGGCGATGCAGCTTGATGCGGAGCTCGACTTCTTTTGCGCCGGCGTCGCCGATACTTCGGCGATGCATCGGAACTGCATCGACGATGCGGCAGGATCCTCTGGCCCCATTTGCTCAGACCCCATTTGGGAGGCATCTATCGGGGCGAGCGGCAATCTCAGACCTCCGACGAATTGTGTTCTGTCAATCCCAGCTTAGATTTCTGACTCCTGGGGCCTCCCGGCGGGCCCCAATGGCGAAGGATACCGTGAGCCGATCGACGTTCTGACCATGCCCTGCTCCTGTCACGAAGCTCTCGAGTCGGCCACGGAGGTCGGCCCAGTTGAGAGGTCGTGGCCTTTGGTCGAAGATAGGAGGTCCGCGCGGACCTCAAAGAAGACACGTTTATGTGTTGTTGCGTGTTCCTCCATCTATCCATGCCCTCTCCACACCCGCCGCCCAGGGTTTGCCTAGGACTGCCAGTTTGGGTCCGTACAGATGGGTCAGAGGACCGCGCCGCATCGCCGATGCATCGCCGATGCGGCTCCAGTTAGATATCGACTTTCTTCACGACGGCGTCGTCGATACATCGCCGACGTCGCCGATGCATCGCCGATGCACCGGCGTTGTATTGATGATGCACCTGCGAGGCCGCGCGATCCTCCGACCCCATCTATTCGGAACCCATCTAGGAGGCCATCCAGTTGGGGTGCCCCCGCGGTGATGTGCTCGAGCGTCGCTCGCCGAGTCCGATGGAGTCGGGGACGGGGAGGCAGGGGGGCGGGGGCCGCTGGACTGTGCCGCAGCAGAGCCTATTCCCGCAGGGGCATTTCGGTTTTTAGTCTTTGGGCTGGGAACCCGCCCCCCAACCGCCTTTGCCTTGTTCACCTCCTCCTCCTCCTCTTCCCCCCCTCCTTCTCCTCCTCCTCCTCCTCTTCCTCCTCCTCCTCCTCCTCCTCCGCCTCCTCCTCCTCCTCCTTCCTACTCCTCCTCCTGCTTCCTCGTCCCTCATCATTCCTCCCCCACCTCCCTTCAGGGTGCCTGGTTGGGGCTGCGATGCTTTTACGCCGCCCGGAAGGGCGGCCAGAAATTCAGCCATAACCGAGTTCCGAGAAGTATCATCTCCCAGCTTGTGGCTCTCCAGAGGACCCCCAAACAGCGCTGTGGTTACCCTCGCCCACCCCCCTGCCGAGTCGATCCGAACCTCCCCCTTCCCAGAGCCCCAGGACACCCCGCGTGCACATCCGAGGCGTGCCGGCTCTGACGGTGCGAAGCACGTGGCGACAGCGGCGGCAGCGGGCGCGCGAGTCCGTCACGGCCGTCGGCAGCGCACCCTGGTTCGCTCGTCTGGTTCTCATCGTGCGCTTCGTCCTCCTTCTCCCCCTACTCCCTACTCCCTTCTCTGTCCTCCTCCCTCCCCCCTCCCCCCTCCTCCCTCCCACCCCCATCCTCCCTCTTCCCGCCTCCTCCCTCCGCATGACGCCCGGTTGCCCCATGACAACTTCCTTCCTCCTCCTTCCTCCTCCCTCCTCTCCTTCCTCCTTCCTCCCTCCTCCTTCCTCCTTCCTTCTTCCCCCCTCCTCCTTCCTCCCTCCTTCCTCCCTCCTCCTCCTCCTCCTCCTCCTTCTCCTCCTCCCTCCCTCCTCCTTCCTCCTCCCCCCTTCCCCTCCTGCCCCTCGTGGACTGCGCCCCGGCCGGCGGGCCCAGGCTCTCGATGCCGCCGGCGGAGATGAGGCGACGGCCGCGGCGGACGAGGCGCCCCCGCCAACCCCGCCTTGGCAGGGCTGCTCACGGTCCGATTCGGGGAGGACAGGAGGCGAGAGGAGGAGGAGGAGGAGGAGGAGGAGGAGGAGGAGGAGGAGGAGGGAGGAGGAGGAGGATGAGGAGGAGGAGGAAAGGAGGAGGAGGAGGAGGAGGACGAGGAGGAGGAGGAGGAGGAGGAGGAGGAGGAGGAGGAGGAGGGAGGAAAGGATGAGGAAGGAGGAGGAGGAGGCGGAGGAGGAGGAGGAGGAGGAGGAGGAGGGAGGAAAGGATGAGGAGGAAGGATGATGATGATGATGAGGAGGAGGAGGAGGAGAAGGAGGAAGAGGAAGAGGAATAATAATAAGACGACGACGAAGACGAACAATGGTATATTTTACATAGTGAAGCATGTGTAGCAGCGCAGAAGGGCCGTACTTGTGTCGGCTCAAGCTCTCATTTCACCAGATGCGACGCAACATCTGGTGGGAAGGTCTGAAGGATTCTATCGTAGTAGGCATCCACTACTACACGGCCTCGCTGGCAGCGGTCTGCCCCGCTTGCCCCGAGGCCCACTTCCCCAGCCTCCCAGCCTGCCCGTCCCTGAGCTGCGGGGACTGCCGTTCCCTTGAGGGGACGTCGATCCCCCACGTGGCCGCCACTGGGGCCTTCATCGCCGTGGGCTTCCTGACCTTCGGGCTGGTGGTTGGCAGTCTCATCGGCTTCCTCGCTGGCCGGCTGCTGCCGGCACTGGCCTGCCCGCGGCGTTCCGCAGGCGCAGGCGTGGCGGGGCCGGCGTCGCCGGCCCACGTGTCAGCTGGCGTGGCGGCAGCCCTGCCGGACGTGCCGCACCAGCCGACCTCCGAGGTGGGGGAGGACTTCGCCGCTGAGGCGCGGGTTCCGGCTGCGGCAGTGCGCGAGAGGCGCGCCGCCGCGGCCCACCGCGGCTAGGCATGGCGGCGCCTGGCGTTGGCCCGCTCCTGCCGGCGGGCGGGGCGGGGCCAGTGGCTCCGCCGGAGCCGGCTCATGAACTTTCGGCGGCGGGCGTCTCAGAGGGCGATTTCATCGCTGTGAAGTACAACGTTGCTGGTGCCGCTCTGTGGCACGAGAGGTGCGTGCTGCTGATCTCGAGCCTCCCGCCCCGCACGTTCACGGGGTACACTCCCGATGGTGACTGCTACGAGGAGGACCTGTTGCCCGGGGGGGACATCGCGGCCTGGACCCCACTCGTGGGCCATGCGGCGGGCGGCGGCCTGCCGCCGCACCTGGCTGGTCAACGAGTCCATGGATTTCGTGCCCTTCCTCTCCTGCACACCTTAGTGGCAGCGCGGACGGCGGCCGCTGCCCGTCTGAATGCAGTCCCTGCCGCTCAGTTCGCTGTGAATGTCGGTCGCGCCGTGGCTGGAGGCCCGGCAGCGGCGGCCGCCGCACTTGCTCCAGCAGGTCCCGCGGCTGCAGGGCCGCCAGGTGGCTTGGCGCCAGGGCCGCCAGGGGCTGCCCCCGGAGTGCTTGGAGGGGCGCTGGTTCCCCTCGCTCCGGCCCCGGGTGGCGGCGGCCTGGCTCCAGCTGGCTGGTCTTGCAGCCGCTTTGGCCCCGGCGGGGCCTGGCCTGGCGCCCCCCGGCGTGTTGGCCCCCGGGGCCGCTGCGGCTCCGGGGGCGGGGGGCCCCTGTGCGGCCGGCGGCCGGGGGGGGGGGTCCTGGGGTCCCTGGCGTTCTGGTGGCGGGAGCTCCGCCGGTGCCCCCACCGGCGGCCCTGCTGCAGGGCGCTCGTGTCCTGCCGATCACTCGGGATCAGCTGGGGCAGCGGCGCTGTGTCTTCAGAGAGGCAGTGCTTCAGATGCGGGAGGACCCTTGGCCCGACTGGCCTCTTTCAGGGCCTCGCACCGCACTTTGGTGCTGTCGGTCCATTTCGGAGAACAGTATGACTCCCATGGGACATCACGTCCGCTGGCGTCAGGAAACGGGTCTCGCTGACAAGGACCTCGGGGTCGAGCAACACGAGACATGTTGCAGGGCCTTGAAGCTCGCCGCAGTGTATGACCAAGTCAATGTTCCCAATCATGCGAGCCTGGAGATAGTGTGCAGAGATCTCCAGATTCAGGAGGAACGGTATCGTGAGAGAGTTGCTAAACCTGATCAGGCAGGCATCGATCGCCACCTCTTCATGGGCACAGGTAGGGTTCACGGGAACTTATGCATCTGCCCTGACCTTCAGACTTGGGTCACGGCTGCGCTGGCCCGCGAGTGTGCAATTGCTAAGGAACGTCGCAAAACCCGTGAAGAAAGGGCCCTGGCTAGCGGGACCTCCAGCTCGGAGGCGAGTGGCAAGCCGGGGCCCAAGAAGAAATGAGTGCTTCGGGGGAGGTGAGCTTCAGGCCCCTCACTTCTCCCAGCGTCCAGGGCCCGTCTTCGCCGTCCCGCGGGGAGCCTAGCTCTTCTTCCAGGCGTGTGCAGCGTGGCCTTTTTCCCTTGCCTCTCCCCCAGACCCAGCAAAGTGTCGTTGGGGTCGCCAGGCCGAGCCGGAGGGTGTGGAGCACGCCGATGCCTGGGCCGCCGACGGAGTCGCGGTTTTGAGCGATCTCTACGGTGCTCGTGCCCAGCCTACCTCACCCAATGCGAGTCAGGAGCGGGTGCTGCACCACATGCAGGAGTCTTACCGGGGCCTTGATCGCCCCCCGGGGGGCACCGATTTTGCATCGGGAGCCCTCGGCGAGCTCTTGTCAGGGACCACGATTTATGCTTCCGATTCGGGCCCCGTGGTGCCTTACTCTTTTGAGCGCGTTTCCTGGCCTTCTCGGGACTGTAAGCCGGTGCCTGTCCTGGAGCTGCTTTCCCCGGCCGACGCGTCAGTGTTAAAGGATTGGCGAGGGAACCTGCTTAGGCCCCCGGCTGAGGCGGAGGCCCTGCGCCGCGAGGCTTGCCCGCGCGGGGCATACATCGATCCTCTCCTCTCCTCCAACCCGCTCGAGTACGGAAAGTTTTTCAGGGGGGCCCACTTTCGGGGCATGCTGCATTTTCACCGTGCCCTGGGCCGAAAAGGGGCCATGGGGGTATTTTTCGTCCGCGAGAAAGGGGGCCAACAAATATGGATCTGCGACGCGCGGGTGGTCAATTGCTCCTTCAGGTCCCCACCTAGTACCCGTCTGCCAACTCCCAGTGCGCTTGCTAGTTTAGAAGTGCCAGGAGGTAAGTGCCATATCGCCTCGGGGGACCTCGAAACCGCGTTCTATCACATGGAGGTCCCCGCCGGTATGTCGGACCTGTTCCCCAGAGGATCGGCGATTGCTAGGCTAGGCCGGGTGAAGTTCAAGTGTTGCCACAGCGCTCAATTCTTCGCGCGGGACTTGGAGTGCTAGCCTAATACTTAAGTGCACTTTCCGCATCTATTTAGCGGTGTTTGTGGTTTGCGGCTTGTGGCGCGCTTGTGTGTTAGCAAGTTCGCGTTCTTGTTTGTCGGGTTGATGTCGCGCGGTCTGTTACTGACGCGAACTGTGCGCACAAAACATCATAAACATCATCACCATCATCAACATCATCCACATCACCATCATCATCATCATCAGCAGCAGCAGCATCATCATCGTCGCCATCGGCATCATCATCATATGTTCACCATCGTCAACTTACAACTGCCCTTACGGGAGAGGGAGATGATAATATATAAGATGGATGAGGATGATGGTGGCGATGAGGCGGAGGAGGAGGAAGCTGAGGAGGAGGAGGAAGGGGGGGGAGGAGGAGGAGGGGGAGGAGGAGGAGAAGGAGGAGGAGGAGGAGGGGGAGGAGGAGAAGGAGGAGGAGAAGGATGAGGGAGAGGAACGGGACCATAATGATGCTGATGATGATGAGGAAGAGGACGAAGATGATGATGCTGGGGAATATGAGGATGATGATGAGGGCGAGGACGGGGGGGGGAGAATGCGAAGGAGGAGGATGATGAGGAGGAGCAGGATGAATAGGAATATAGGATAATCCATATGAGAGGGATGAGGAGGGTGGATGGGGATGAGGAGGAGGACGAGGGGAGGATGATGACGTCGACGCGAAGGATGAGGCGCAGGAGGAAGAGGAGGAGGATGAGGGACGACGATGATGATGAGAAGAACCAGGGAGGCGGATGATGAGGAGGAGGAGGAGGGGGGATGAGGAGGAGGAGGGGGATGAGGGGCATGTGGAATGGGGGGATGATCTGTATGAGCGGTAGCAGGCGGCGCATAGAGAACATTATGAGCAGGAGTTTGGTGTGGATGATGTTCAGTGCGATAGTGCCGATGACTATTCTGACGATGTTGATGATAGTGATGATGGTCATGGTGTCGATGATGATGATGTTGGCGATGACGGTCATGATGATGATGGTGGTGATGGTGATGGTGATGATGCTGATGGCGATGCTGATGATGACGATGACGATGATGATGATGCTGATGATGATGACGATGACGATGACGATGATGATGATGATGATGATGATGATGGTGATGATGCTGATGATGATGATACTGCTGCTGAAGCTGATGATGGTGATGATGATGCTGATGATGATAATGCTGATGCTGATGCTGATGCTGATGCTGATGCTGATGCTGATGATGATGATGATGATGATGATGATGATGATGATGATGATGGTGCACATCGTCCGTCCATCGGATGCGTCGCGTCGCTCGCTGCCCGCAGCGCCATGCCAGCATTCAAGCTGGAGGTGTCCCCCCTCAGCCAGCAGCAGAAAGCAACTTGGATTGGCAGAGGCTGGGCGCGGGGCGCCATGGCGGAGCGGGGCGGCGGCGACAGGGGTGGCGGCGCGGCGCCAGCCGACACGATGGTCGAGTCCCCGTCCTCGATGATGGAGCTCGGGCACATCGAGTCGACCAGCCGCCGCCCCGACAACGCTGGCCTGCCGATGCGCCCGTGCCACTACAGCGCCATCCCGCCGAGCGTTGCAGCAGGCGCGCTCGGCGACACGGAGGGGTGAGAGAGGACGGAGGAGGACGGAGGGATAATATGGACGGGGA